GCGTCGTAGTCCGCACTCACACTACGCATGCGCAACTCTCCTTCTTCCCTCTCTTCAACAGCTGCGCGTTACTCTCTCCGCTCTCTCTCTCTCTACCAGCTGCGTGCACTTTGCTTGCGTTCGCTTCTACTCACACCGCGCGCGCATGCGCAACTCTCCTCCTCTAGTCTCCTCTCCTTCACGTGTGAATATAAGCAGCGGTAGCGCGCTGCGCGCGTTCAAGGGAGGAAGTGGCCGAGTGGGCTAACGCGTCTGAGCTCGGAACGTGGAGCGAAAGCTTGTGCTGGGAACCTCCTGGGTTCGATCCCCGCCGCCCCCTGCCCGTTTCGATCTGGATGAGTTTCGTACCGGCACGCGTTCGTGTTATCACTACTGCATGATGCACGTTAAAAATCCCAGGTTAGCGGTTGTACTGCACTGGCTAAATTTCTCATCTACAGCTAAGAGACCGATTACCCCTTGAGGCGCATCTCCATCAAGGCTGTATAAACATAAAGAGCAAACCAATGTTTTTGCGCGCGTTCAGTTCACCGCTGTTGACTCCACTTCACTCCGTTCTTCCGATGAAGTGTGATGGAAGCAACAGTCCCGTCAGTTAGTGGGTTGGCGCAAGCAAGCGTCAGCACCACCCCACAAACTAACAGCAACGCTACGTCCACTGAAGACAAAGCTGCGCAGCGAAGGGCACGCGACGCTGAGCGCAAACGCTCGAAGCGAGCGGCAGACCCTGAACTACGGCAACGAGAAGCGGCGTCCATTCGTCAACGTCGAGCGGCGGATGCTGAACTACGACAACGTGAAGCAGCGGCGGTTCGAGAACGTCGAGCAGCAGAACCTGAGGTTCGGGACCGTGAAGTTCAACGTAAACGTACGAAGCGAGCGGCGGAACCCGAACTTCGAGAACGGGAAGCCGCGTTGGTTCGTGAACGTCGAGCAGCAGAACCTGAGGTTCGGGACCGTGAAGTTCAACAACGTTACTAACACCGTTAATAACACCGTTAATAACGATCCGCGATGCTCCGCATCACCCCATGGTTCCCCTCGGGAAGATGGTGTCATTTTTTTATTTTCGTTTTTTTTCGCCCTTTTTTTTGTGGGATTGGGTTCTAAGCGCCTATAGGCGATTCCAGAAATATGGATGACACCTAGTGGCTAGAACAGAAAGCTCTTGTGGTAGTTTCGCTCGCCAGTTTTCTCGATCGAATGAGATGTTCACAGCGTCTGGCGGACTAAAGACGAAGCCGTGAAAGCAGATTCAAAAAGACGTTGTGAAAAATCGCCAATAGGTGGTCTTTGCTTCTGGATTCATACGACTCTCGCAGATAGCTGTGAAGTTAGATCGGCGATAAACTGGCTGTGCTTACATGGATGCGACCGTAGAGCATCGAATCGGGATTTGACCCTTTTTACTGGTACTACGGTAGCAGGTGGTCAGAAGAGGAAGAAGTAGGAAGGCAGGGTGCGGTGCGATTGGTCACTGCTCGATTCGATACGCTACGATCGCATTCATGTTAAGGTAGCCTATGAAACGCTTTATTTAAACGAGAACAAAATCGATGCTATTTTAAACTAATATATATTTTAATCGGTACTTTCTTAAACTATATACGAGGTTTCCTTAAATGCTGTGGTTCAGAAAATGCAACAACTGCTTTATTTTTGCAAAAAAAAAAATCTCTTTTCATAGTTTTTATAAGAACAAAAACTTGAAAATTCGGCAGTATGCTATGCGACTCGTAAATTTCTTTCTAGACGCACAAGCTCGCAAACAACTCACACGCCCTCTTCCACATAAAATTAATAAAAACAAACTTCCAGCACGCAGAAGGTTTGCACTCAATCTTCGCCCCTGTCCCTTTCGATCTGGATGAGCATCGTACCGGCTTGCGTTCATGTATTCTCTAACGAGTTGTGCACAGTCAAGACGCCGGGCTAGCGGTCGTGCACCTCAAGCACTTCTCAAAGGGAGACCGACCTCGCACTGTCTCAACAGACTAGACTATTTGGATTTGCTTTGAATTTGGCTCATTTTTGTGACAGAAGTATGCGCTATTTTATAAATACCAGTGAAAATCAGGACTAAGCTTTTGATTTTAGGTGCTTTGATCTTAGTGCCTATATATTGCGAGCAGTGCATGTACGCTCATACTCTAGAGATAGACTTAAGTCAGCAGGACGCCACGCATAGGACTGAGCACGCCAATTTCAAATATGTATTTATTTATTACATACTGCAGACCTAATAATGGTCGAAGCAGAAACGGCAAAAAGTAAAAAGAGCAAAGCCCGATCTCAGAACAAGTGAATTATGGATCATTGAAAAAATGCAGTAAAAAAGTCGTGTACAAATGCGTATCTTCACTGACAAATTATAGGCGCTGGCCAAACTTAGAAGCAATATTTAAAAGCTGGCGCGCCGTTACAAAGAAAAGATAAAAAGGAAAACTCTGATGAACCGATTAATTGGGGAGAGAGCAGGATATATTTATTTAACTGTTAGGTTACAATCCGCTGAGAAGCGTCTTGTTTGGTCTGTGACCGCGCCCAGTCTGTTCTCTTCCAGGCGTCACGTTCTTCTCCGTGGCTCGCTTTCCCCCGCCGACGTCTCCGGTTGCATCAGCCCACCGTTGCCTGGGCTAAAGGTCGTGTTTGCTATGCGTGGCGAGCACCGCACACAATACACGGCAAAAACAACAAGTCGAACAAGACTTTTTTTAAAGACTGTTCAGTGTTGAGATAATAACGCGAGCATTTACAATGGGTGCAACGCTGAGAACCACCGAGAATGATGAACTTGTGTTGGTAGCATGGTTCCCTCAAATTTATCTAGTGAAAATACTTCGATCGTCGGTCATAACGCCACATTAAACCATAGCAAAAAAAAAATAGTTCACAAAAAAACTTAAAGGCCTGTTTCACTAAGTTACACGTATTTTTTTTTTTTTTGCTTTTAAATTTGTTTTTGTATATACACGAACTCAACTCTCTTACGTCACGCCGCGGTGGTGGCGCGCCGGACGCACTTCCGGTCTGGGGCGGTGGGCAAAAGTCGCCGTGCCAGACATGCATTCCTGTGTTCTTTTGGAAGAAACGAGACAAAAAACCTGCCTTCTCGTCAAAATTCTGCGATGGGGGCTGTACCAAGAGAGTCTGGAAAGGTTTGAAGATCAGTTTTCATGTGTTTTTGCCCCTTCCGTTCGTCCGATTACGTGGATAGTAGCCGTGAAAGGGGCAAACCAGACGCTGTCGAACTACGATTGCGTGTGAGGGCAACACTTTGTGGTCGCCAGATGAATTTGCTTTGTTCCAACATGAACGAGAAAAACCCGCGAAGTTTTCCGGACCACCCACGGGTTCAGTGCGTCTTCAAATTCACACGGCCGCCTGATCGTTCGAACTTTCGTCTGCTCTTTCAAACTTGTCTGCTTTTTGTCGTCCGCTCGTTCAAACAAAAGCGGCCCGTAGACCAAAATTTAACCCGGTGATTGCAATAAGAAGTAATTTCAGGCCTCAAAAGACTTAAGTAGGCTCGGTGTGAACAGTAGATACAAGATGTTGATCATTGGTACCGGTGGCCATCACCGACTTGTTACGCTTGGTCTGTTCCCGCTTCCGATTTTCAGTATCGACGTCGATCATCGCCGCTACCTTCTACACTATTGCAGCACGAGCGATGTCGCGACCGAAAATAGCTAGAAGAATTTTATCATAGTTTTGGCGTCCATTCTGCGGCGTTCATGCGAATGAATCACCGCACGTCGAATTATTTACGGAAAGTTTAGCAGCCGACGGTAACGAGCCTTGATAATTTCGCTCAGGCGATTAAAGTAATAAGACATTGCGATGAGGACGTAGAATCGACAATTCCAAAGCGAAAAAGAGTACGCAGACTCACACAGACGCCGACAACGTGACGTTCGAATGGTTTGTTGACGCGGGACGCGGTGCTTGTTGCCCAAGTTTTTGTCGTCAGCTCGTTCAAACGACAGCGGCCCGTAAATCAAATGTTGACCCGGTAATTGCGATAAGAACTAAGTGCAGGCCTGAAAACACTTTTGAAGGTTGGTTGGGGTGAGTAGGCTAAGTGTAAACAGATACAGGAAGATGTTGATCATTGTTACCAGTGGCCATCGCCGACTTGTAATGCCCGATTCTATTTGCGGTTTTTAGTATCGACGTCCACCATCTCAGCTACGGTCCACGCTTTTGCAGTCCGAGCGACGTCGCAACTGAAAATAGCGAGCAGAATCTCATCGTGGGAGTCAGGCTTCAGCGCCTATTCTGCGGCGTCCACGTGAAATGAATCGCCACACGTCACATTATTCACGCAAAGTGTTGCCTCGTTAGTTTTGCTGAAGCCGCTCAAGTAGGCAGGCATTGTTAGGAGGACGTAGAATCAACAATTCCAACGAAAAAAGGAGCACGGGGACTCCCACCGACGCCGACAACAACGCAATTCAATGGTTTGTTTATGGGCGACGGCGGGCTTCTTGCTCAACATCCCGGGCCCGCGCATGCGCGGCTCCGGTGGCGTCCGCTAGGGGCGCTCCGGTTTGTTTGTAAACATGAGTTGGTGTATAGTATAAATTCAATCGTCATGGCAAGCGTTAAAAAAATAACATCAAGGGTTTTTATTATTATTTCTTAAAAACACAGCCCTTCTTGTTTCTACTTGTCCTTGTATCACAGTGGCTATAAATAAGTTACATTCCAATTTATTTATTTGCTTTTTATATTCTAGAGATTGGCCAATTAAATAGAGCGGATCGACTTCTATGTGGGTTAATTCATTATTTTGTCGGCTGAGAAACGTGTTTATCAACCAATGACTTCACTTCTGACTGTAGACATCTAGTAGCGAATTTGTACTGCATTTATATTTATTGTTTGAAAGGAAACGGGATGGAAGAAGCGAAGGGCTTGTCCCCGACCTACCGTCTCTATCTCTGTCTCCGTTTCCTGAACAAGTTGCGTCACGGCGGAGCTTCCGTGGTTGGAACATTTTATCCGCAGGAAGCGCACATGGCGAAGCCCTCTCACGTGTAGCTTATGTTCCTCGCTTTAAGGAGTGTTTTAGAAGTGGGTGCTGAGTTTTTACCAAAAGCTGTGCACGCCGCTTTTCTAATTTTTTTGTTAACGCACTTGAAGTCAATTATTGAAAAAACTTCAAAACAACCGAAGCAAAAACAAAGTGAGTAACCTTACCAGCTTTTCTTAAGTCTCCTATTGATCTTCGTTTGAGAAGATAGGCCTTTTGCCTAATATTCAGTGGTATGATTAACACTTAGTTACGGTTAATTTTTTTCTACAAAGCAAGTCGGTGTAAAACGAGTGCATTTATATAACATGATAATTGAAGGGTAACTCCGGTCAAAAGTTGAACCAAAACGGAGGTTAAAAATAACGAGTAATGTCGAAATATTACACTAATGGGAAATAGCGATACATTCTAAAACCGATATTACAAATGCTACCACCAGCCTCTCACGGGCATTAAGCCGGTTGGCTGTTTGTCAAGCAACCTTGTGTCCTCATGGCATCTTCGTTTTCAAGAAGCTTCGTTGTTTGTATTGCCACTTTTTCGCCGGGTTTTTTGCTACGTGATGGGCCGAGTCAGCCAAAGTTCGGATTCGGCAAAATACGGCACGCGCCGAACTTTACGACGGAAATCCGGCAATGATTCGGGTGGCGTTTGTGCGCGAACACCAATCCACGTTATTCGATTACCTCAGTTGTGGAACGCCCGCGGGGGGGGGGGGGGGGGGGGGGGGGGGGGGTATCCTCTTTCACTTACTCACTCCAATCCGCCAAGCGTCGATCGAAGTGCCATCTACATTTTCGTTTCATAACTATTCGTTTCCAAGAGCCCGACTGAAGCGCCAAATGGCGATCTCAACGCCGCCATTTATCCCGCAGCGGTCACTCAAGGAACTGCACGTAATACCTATTTTGGCTTCAACCGGCTATCTCGGAGCCGAAACAGATACAATTGAGAGAGGTCACAGGGATGCCACCACCGTGTCCCCAGCGGGTGCGCCGCGCAATTGCCCCGAAGTTAAGACGGGCCTAGGTCGGGACTTGCTACCTGAAATGGCCGCTGAGTCATGGTTGTATGAAAACAATAATTATTGTACTGCAAAACCTTGCAATCTAAAGAACTTAGAAAACATCACGCGCCCCTATTTTGTACTAAACTCCAATAAAAGTTACTACAAAACGAGTTTTTTTCCGTCGGTTTTTACGTTTCTAGTAACGTTGAAACGTACGTATCCTGATTCAGTTACCAAAGCAGCTGTCCGGCGGCGCGTCGAGCGACGCTTGGCGAGTCGTGGTGAGTGAGGGGGGCTACTGTTCGTGCATGCGGCGCCTATGAGCAGTTCCGTAACTGAGCTAATCTAATAACGTTGGCATCAATTGACCGATCTCGCCAAGCGTTGGCCGCATGCGTGACGCCACCATAAAGGCCGGTTCAGACACTTGCGTTTGAGTGCGTTTGACTGCGTTGCGTCGAGTACCGAAAGCGAGTCACCGGCGCATCTGTGCTTCGTATGAAGCGTGGAGTCCAATTCAAGGAATCATTTTGGCACGCGATATAAGCAGCAGGGATGTCCTGGTTTGTCGCTGCCGCAACGCAGTCAAACGCAGTCAAACGCAACTGTCTGAACCGGACTTAACTTTAGTTCGCAGCAGGCCGCCGGCAGTGCACGAGAGGGCCCGTGCCGTCTCGTGCTCTACACGCGCAGAGCTCCAGCGAGTTTGTCGCACGTGCAGAAAGACTAAAGTTCTCTCGATGCATTGCGGCAGCGGTGGCGTAGTCAAACTGGCTGGTGAGGTCGGTCTATTGCAATGGCTTCAACATCGGCTGGTGGCGGCTACCATACGAACGTGACGAAAAGTAGTTGAGACAACTGCAAGGAAGATGAACAACGATGTTTTAGCACGAATATTACACACCCTAAAGCGGAGGTAGGCACAGCGCAATTTTAAACAAAAACCGTTAATATTTATTTTTTTCTTTTTTTTAGTCAAGAGCTGAAGATTAAGCAGGCTGTGCATTGTGCATGGCACAAGCGGCCAGGGCTGTTAGCTGAAATAATATTATACTGTCTTAAACAGCACGGTTGAAAACATGATCACCACATGTAGAACTGGTGCAGTCTACAACATGTTTACGTCTTAATTGTCACATAAGCTGTTGACATTCCTAAGAGTAACGCACTTTTTGTGATAGTAGGGGAACATTGCAACGTTGACTAATCAATACGTTCAAGGGCCCGTCGCCATTTTAGCGATATTCAGTTTGACGTTAGTAGGAGTTCACGCAGAAAAGTATTCTTTTGTTCATTTATTTAACGTGCATTCTGTTTATTTTTTTTTTATCTCGGTGTAAGCACCTTCATACAAAACTAAACACAAACCAAAGCCTTTTGTTCTTGCATATCCGAAACTTCAAAGTGCCATGTTCCTAAACAATTCAGAAGCTATCAACGCATGCAAAGCTGACAGAATATTAAAAAGCTTGCATACTTAAAATAATAGTGTCACTTCTGGTGGAGGCTCAGCAGGCGGATTCATTGCGGCAAGCAGAAAACGAAATTATCCACAGTTCCTGCTAGGGCCACAGCAGCAAAATGCTCACATTTGCAGACTTACATTGATAAAGTTCCAAAATATAAACTAAACTAGCTATCCAGGCGTACGGGAGTACCAGAAATAACCGCTTACCTGCGCGTACCTTGACTGAAGTCACTGCAATTTTGCATATAAACACACAAAAAAGACACTAATACACGTTTACTAAAATATCCTGTTATTTAGCAATAACTATGTCAACGTATATATAATTTGCTATACTAGACACTTAAAAATGTTTTCGCCAAAATAAAACATTAATCAGTTATTCAGTCCGACAACGGTGCTTTTTCGTCAAAACTGCCGTTTTTTTTTGTTTTTTTTTTGTTGCAATTTTTAGTTGTGTTAAATTCAAAAATTCGGCGCCGATTTTTTTCTATTCCGCAAACGTTTGGCCCATCACTAGTTTTCAGCCACCCCAACGGTCGATTTCTGCTTGTAATGTTATGTTTTAACGGCCGTAGCTTGTACGTGCTCTTTGGCGATCACCAACGAAGATTATTGACTCCCTGCTCGCTCAAGGGCGTCGTGGTACCCAAGGAAGCATTCACAGGCGGCCATACTTTCGTCCGTTCCTCCTCAGCGCGAACTTACGATTAGTTTCCACTAGAGACACCAAATAAGCCATGCTTCCCAGTAATGACACTTCGGGCATCCTGGTGCTTACAATCATGGCTGACAGTTATGTGAAGTTTTATCTGAAATCGCCGGAAACGCCTTTCCGTCCTCCAGAAATGTTAAAACAGTGCGTGACAGAGCCAAAGAATACCACCCGAGCTTCCTAACACCGTATCTAAAACGAAAACTTAAGAAGTCGCACTTCTTAATTTTGACGACCGACAGTTGCGTCTGCTCTGCACTATAGCACGAAGATGGCGGCGCCCAAAACAATATCGGGGAACAAAGTGCTTTCTTGAAGTCACTAAATATGAGCTACGCTTAGTGTATCGGCACTCTGCTCCCCAATATTGTTGTGAGCACCGCCATCTTGGTGCTTACAGAGCAGACGCAACTGACGACCGTCATGATTCAAAAGTGCGACTTCTTCAGCTTTAGATTCGGTGTTGGAATGCTCATGTAATATCGCTTCCCTGTGTCGCGCACTGTTGAAACATTTGTAGAGATGAAAAAAGATTTCATGTGATTTCAGATAAAGCTTCAGGTAACTGGCATTCACGATTTTAAGCCCCAAGACGGGTACAAGTGTCGTTACTCTGAAGTGTAGCTTATTTAGTGGCACTATACGAATGCCGATATTCTAAGCGTAAGCTCATTTTGTGGCTCTATACTTTGTTTCAGCTGAAGTCCAGACGCAGCTTATGTTACGAGCGCGAACTCCGGGTTTTCAGCGTCCCTGCCAAGCACGTTCACTCGTGAAGTGCAAGCACTGTTCAGGGGGACATGCTGGCCCTTGCAGCATAGTCTGCGTCTGGACTTAAAGGAGCTGTGCAACGATATTCATTTGGAATGTTTTTCAATATACACGAGCTTACTGGCACTAGTGGGAGTCAAGGATACTCGCACGCAACTCCGCTGGCCAAGAAACTCCTTTGTTGCGGTGTAATTTCAAGGACAAAAGCGATCATTTTCATTCAATCTCTCCTTTGCAAAATTTCATGACGTAACGTGGGTATCGCAGTACACCCCAAGTGACGATATTTGAATGCTGTTCATAGATTGGACCCGAGCATTGCGTGGGCACTCGATTTGGGCTCGTGATAATTACTAGCTCGAGAAGCATTCGGGTAGTGGCCCGCGTCCAATCGCTGCAACGACGACAATAGCCGAGCCATAACAATATCTGGAACTCAGCGCGTGCCCTGTGCTTTGCCAACCCCAGCGCGTGGCTGTGATCTACATTGGCGGCATATAATCGGCTCCAGATCACGTGGCCGCTTGTTCTGGCTGCGAGTTGAGGGGGTGAACGCTGCTCGTTTTTTTTTAATTTTTTTCTGGGACTTCTATTGCATGGGGTGAAAAACGAACGCGTGTTTCATAGGTCATTAATGTCAGGGATCCGTTCTAAGCGGTATTTGCGCAAAGTACAAAAATTGTTGCATCGCCCCTTTAAGCTGGGGGATCGGTGGCCGAGTGGGCTAGCGCACAAGCTCGGAGCACGTGGAGCGAGAGCTCGCGCTGCAGAACCCAGGCATCCTGGCTTCGAGCCCCACCCCTGCCCCATTTCGATCTGGATGAGCATCGTACCGGCGTGGGATCATGTACCACTACTGCGTGGTGCACGTTAAAGACCCCAGGCTAGCGGGTGTACTGCACTTGCTAAATTGCTCATCTACAGCTGGGAGACTCATCGCTCGTTGAGGCAGACCAAGTTCTAAGCTGTACAAACATATACCCACCCCAATGTTTTGACTTCAGCTAAAACGAAGTTTAGCTTCCACGATGAGTCTGCAACGTGTATCGCACACCACCAAGATTGTAGTTCTTCTCAGAAGATAAGTGGGAGTTTGTTCAGAGCCTGTGTTCATATGGCAAAGTTACTTTTCGGCCGGGCACTTTAGGAATGTGTATTAATATTTGCTACAGGTGTTTTATATCTGC